ATTACTTCCATAAATTACATGTTCACCACACTTATGGTGTTTTTAGCCGTTTGACAATGTTAATTGGAGGCTGAAAGCTACATAATGCTGTCCATGTCAGCTGTAATCAGCACTTGAGGACCGAGCAGGTTTTTACATCCCTAGGACCGAAAATCAGTTGTTTGCTTATTTACTTAAAACATTAGTATATATTAAAGTATACACAAGCAGTATCCATGTTATGCATTGCAACAAACTTGTTTTATTATCACCGCTGCCTATATTTAATATTGTTGCTGATTCCTCTAATTATTTCGTCGCAACGTCGCATACCTTAAAGTTGAATCGTGTGTATTAACTGTGAATATTTTTTATTTTGTATAGTGTGGTGAAAAATAGCGTTCGTACCACGAATCGAGAGGATTTTGCAGCTCTCGATCGTTCTAAGTTATCGACTTCGTGTCGAGCTCGAACCAGCAAGACCTCATTTTCGGCCCTAGGTACGAAATATACTATTTTGTAAACTGCTTTTCCTCCGCTTTTATAATATGACATTACGAGAAAACCTTTAATGAAGACCACACAAAACTCCCCAAAAACCTTTGTAATAGTGAGATTATTTGTATCCATGCTAGTCGGATTGTATATTCAAAAAGAAAAAAAACTTATTGAAGGTCATACGATACTTACAAAACTTACTTTGTGGGGGGTCGAACCCTTTAAACCGACGTCTAAGACACTGGAGATGTCCCTCCACACCCCCTTTATTTATTTAATTTTTGTGGGAAGGGACGTTAATAGGGGGTTCCACAAAATTGTTGTAGTTGATGAGAGCCACCGACGGATTGCGCTGATCTAAATTACTTAATTCTGTCGAACACACAAACCTTTTTACCAAGTCGTAAACTTAAAGAATGACTTATGGTGATCCAAAGCAACTGTTATGACCCATAAACCAGATTAGCAACAAAAAATAGGGTATAAAATAGAATTTTAGACACTAGCGCATTCTGTAACTGGCTGACATAGCTACGTTCTTTTTTAATAAAGAAATTGGCGACAGCTGGTCCATAGATGGGACGTCTAATGGTAGTAACATGTATTACTGTAGCTGTCTCCTAACATAACAGTTTAACAAATTTAGGGTAAATGAACACTCTCAACTTTAAAAAAGTATTTTATAACACCTATTACACAAATTTACACAAAAACATACAGTTTGATTTGGAATTCACCAAAATGATTGACTATGAATAGTATACATAAGTACCCTTATAAACACAAAGAACACATTTTATACCTATAATACTGATTTACAAAACCATAATCGTATGCTATATACATAGTTGTGGTGTATTAAATGAGAAACGATTTACATATTTGCTGCTATGGAAATTATATGACAATGGTATGAGAGGGAATGCCTTTAAATGTTATTTTTCTTAAAAAGAAAATACTTATAGTGATGTAAGTTTTTTTATGTAAAAATAAATGTGGATTCACGCAAAAACTATCTAAAGTAAGAAAACTCAAACTTAAACATTGCATGGACTGATGTATAAGGGTATCAAGAATGTTATGAAAATAATATACATTAGTAAACAATAAAAAAAATCACTATAACATTACTGTATTATCAAGTCTTAAAACATTTTTATTACGTAGCTTCTTTAAAAAAAGCTTTACGAAACATTGACTAAACAAATATACTAAACTAGTATACTTAACAAATAAATTAAAATGTTACATGATACAAATGTACACCTAAAACATACACTTTACATTCTTACATTAATAAATAAATTATAGCTTGAAAGCTATCTCTAAAATTAGTATTTGGACAGTAAAAATATAATCTTTACACAGCCTTATTGATTTCTATGTTCAATAACTTATCTTGCAACATTGTGCTCAGTCCATTGCTCAGTTCAATTCTTAAATAGCACTTTTCTAGACGAATTCTTGTTCAACGCATTGCAGAATATCTGATGGACGGATCTGAAAATAGATAATAAAAATGAAACTTAAACGTTTTTGGTAGCAAAGTAAATTCTAAAATCAGAGGACTTGCAAAGAAATCTTAAACCAAATGTCCTTCTTGTAACAGCTTTTGTCAATGTAAATTTCTCACTGTGAAGTTTAAAAGACATTATTTGATGTTATCCAGTTTGTTTCCCGACTAAACTGGTGACTGAAACAGCTGAGTTCCAAGCTGAGCCTTGAGGTCCAAGTTCAAATACTTCAAATCAAAACTAGATTTTATATTTTAGTAAATTGTGTATTCGACTCTTATAAACTTAAGAAAAATATCACATGATCATGTGCTTAGCTTACTATTATGCTACATGATTTTTAATGGATATATTAAAAAAATATTATGATCAAATCAAATGTGAATTCATGTATAATTAATTGTACTTACATCAGTTCTAGAGAGAGGTGTAGATCACATGTACATCTTGTGTCTAGAGGCTAGAGAGAACTCCATGGAGGGGTAGGAGAGAGACCCTGAGCTGGGGAGACTCACACTACACACTGGCTCCTCCTTGACTGTCAACACACACAACTGTAGTACAACACTGACATCAGTTCTAGAGAGAGGTGTAGGTCACATGTACATCTTGTGTCTAGAGGCTAGAGAGAACTCCATGGAGGGGTAGGAGAGAGACCCTGAGCTGGGGAGACTCACACTACACACTGGCTCCTCCTTGACTGTCGACACATACAACTGTAGTACAACACTGATATCAGTTCTAGAGAGAGGTGTAGGTCACATGTACATCTTGTGTCTAGAGGCTAGAGAGAACTCCATGGAGGGGTAGGAGAGAGACCCTGAGCTGGGGAGACTCACACTACACACTGGCTCCTCCTTGACTGTCAACACACACAACTGTAGTACAACACTGACATCAGTTCTAGAGAGAGGTGTAGGTCACATGTACATCTTGTGTCTAGAGGCTAGAGAGAACTCCATGGAGGGGTAGGAGAGAGACCCTGAGCTGGGGAGACTCACACTACACACTGGCTCCTCCTTGACTGTCGACACATACAACTGTAGTACAACACTGACATCAGTTCTAGAGAGAGGTGTAGGTCACATGTACATCTTGTGTCTAGAGGCTAGAGAGAACTCCATGGAGGGGTAGGAGAGAGACCCTGAGCTGGGGAGACTCACACTACACACTGGCTCCTCCTTGACTGTCAACACACACAACTGTAGTACAACACTGACATCAGTTCTAGAGAGAGGTGTAGGTCACATGTACATCTTGTGTCTAGAGGCTAGAGAGAACTCCATGGAGGGGTAGGAGAGAGACCCTGAGCTGGGGAGACTCACACTACACACTGGCTCCTCCTTGACTGTCAACACACACAACTGTAGTACAACACTGACATCAGTTCTAGAGAGAGGTGTAGGTCACATGTACATCTTGTGTCTAGAGGCTAGAGAGAACTCCATGGAGGGGTAGGAGAGAGACCCTGAGCTGGGGAGACTCACACTACACACTGGCTCCTCCTTGACTGTCAACACACACAACTGTAGTACAACACTGACATCAGTTCTAGAGAGAGGTGTAGGTCACATGTACATCTTGTGTCTAGAGGCTAGAGAGAACTCCATGGAGGGGTAGGAGAGAGACCCTGAGCTGGGGAGACTCACACTACACACTGGCTCCTCCTTGACTGTCGACACATACAACTGTAGTACAACACTGATATCAGTTCTAGAGAGAGGTGTAGGTCACATGTACATCTTGTGTCTAGAGGCTAGAGAGAACTCCATGGAGGGGTAGGAGAGAGACCCTGAGCTGGGAAGACTCACACTACACACTGGCTCCTCCTTGACTGTCAACACACACAACTGTAGTACAACACTGACATCAGTTCTAGAGAGAGGTGTAGGTCACATGTACATCTTGTGTCTAGAGGCTAGAGAGAACTCCATGGAGGGGTAGGAGAGAGACCCTGAGCTGGGAAGACTCACACTACACACTGGCTCCTCCTTGACTGTCAACACACACAACTGTAGTACAACACTGACATCAGTTCTAGAGAGAGGTGTAGGTCACATGTACATATTGTGTCTAGAGGCTAGAGAGAACTCCATGGAGGGGTAGGAGAGAGACCCTGAGCTGGGGAGACTCACACTACACACTGGCTCCTCCTTGACTGTCAACACACACAACTGTAGTACAACACTGACATCAGTTCTGGAGAGAGGTGTAGGTCACATGTACATCTTGTGTCTAGAGGCTAGAGAGAACTCCATGGAGGGGTAGGAGAGAGACCCTGAGCTGGGGAGACTCACACTACACACTGGCTCCTCCTTGACTGTCGACACATACAACTGTAGTACAACACTGATATCAGTTCTAGAGAGAGGTGTAGGTCACATGTACATCTTGTGTCTAGAGGCTAGAGAGAACTCCATGGAGGGGTAGGAGAGAGACCCTGAGCTGGGGAGACTCACACTACACACTGGCTCCTCCTTGACTGTCAACACACACAACTGTAGTACAACACTGACATCAGTTCTAGAGAGAGGTGCAGATCACATGTACATCTTGTGTCTAGAGGCTAGAGAGAACTCCATGGAGGGGTAGGAGAGAGACCCTGAGCTGGGGAGACTCACACTACACACTGGCTCCTCCTTGACTGTCGACACATACAACTGTAGTACAACACTGACATCAGTTCTAGAGAGAGGTGTAGGTCACATGTACATCTTGTGTCTAGAGGCTAGAGAGAACTCCATGGAGGGGTAGGAGAGTGACCCTGAGCTGGGGAGACTCACACTACACACTGGCTCCTCCTTGACTGTCAACACACACAACTGTAGTACAACACTGACATCAGTTCTAGAGAGAGGTGTAGATCACATGTACATCTTGTGTCTAGAGGCTAGAGAGAACTCCATGGAGGGGTAGGAGAGAGACCCTGAGCTGGGGAGACTCACACTACACACTGGCTCCTCCTTGACTGTCAACACACACAACTGTAGTACAACACTGACATCAGTTCTAGAGAGAGGTGCAGATCACATGTACATCTTGTGTCTAGAGGCTAGAGAGAACTCCATGGAGGGGTAGGAGAGAGACCCTGAGCTGGGAAGACTCACACTACACACTGGCTCCTCCTTGACTGTCAACACACACAACTGTAGTACAACACTGACATCAGTTCTAGAGAGAGGTGTAGGTCACATGTACATCTTGTGTCTAGAGGCTAGAGAGATTCTACATGATTTTTTTTAATAATGAAGGAGAATAACATAATTAATGTAAATATAATAACTGTTAAACGCTGCAATAGTAGGTAGCTTCCAATAATTTAAATTTAAAATCAAATTACCATCAGTGGGCCAGTAGGGATATCTCATGGTTGAATCCACCATGTCTTCAGGTCTAGGAACGCTGCAGGCGGAGAAATTTGGCGCGAAACTTCCCCCATTGGTACCAGCTGTAACAGAAAAACTCACTGTAAAAACTAACGTAACTTCACATAACCTTATTCCTCTTAATAAAAATTGTATATGTAATACACCATTTCGTAACGTGAATATCTTATGCTTACGTGCAAATTAATTGTCTTGAACAAAGTTAAACGAAAAGATTTTTAAATAAATAGCTAGTACGGACTTTAATATAATTTGTGATCAAAATAATACGTCATAAAGTAGTTATTATGGATCGTTAAAAAATTACGTATATAATTTCGTATTTACCAGGTTGTTTGAATTTTTGATATTGAAAAACTTTATAAAGAAGACAGAAACTTTACCACTTGACACAAAGAAAATAAATGAAAATAGATATTTCTGCGGAACGTTTTATATTAGTGATCGCATGTAAATACGATAGATTTTCAACGTCAAGGTGTTTCAGATGAACACTTATAAATACGATGAATATACTACGCGTTTTCCAATAAAAAAAATTATATATACTTCTAAATTTGAAAGTACCACTATGTAATTTGATCTTAAAACAATACAATTTGAATTTGTGCTAGTTTAACGATGGAGGTATCATCGTGGTATGTACAATGATTCTCTGCAAAGACTTGAAAGACTTTTGGTGTGATGGTATTTATTGTGGCATGTTGATTACTTGCGTTTTTGGGGGACGAAATAGAAATATGAAGCACGATTTTACCAAGAGTATGCTCAGCATAAAAAGATTTATAGTAACTTTACTTACAAAATCCAGATTGCAGCTGATTGTATGAGTTCATGGTGGATATTTGCATAGACTGCACGGGCTGTAGCTGATTCTGTAACTGTAAAAAAACAATAATATTAGTTCAATTTTAAGCAGTATATTCAATAGTATCATACAACCTCTTCTCGAATAAATATTTCAATTTAATTATAAACCAGTGTAAAATAAATATCCTAAATTTTTAACGGACATTCGATTAATATATTGGTTACCGGTATTCGAAATTAAATGCATTTTAAATGTTATCCGAAGTAAAATGGAAAGTCTTGATTGTCAACAGTTGTAAATTCATGTCAATTCAATATCCCTCATTTCGCTCATAGACAATAAATATTTTTTAATCGTCGACTTAAGTAAAATGAATATTTTTACTGTCTATATGTGTCAAATGTGTCAAATTGGTATTATTTAGTGTAATTTGGGTTGTAATAAATATTCTTAATTATAAGCCTGTGTTAAGTTAATATTCCTTATAAATGCATTTTAATTTCAACCATAAACGCATTAAATGTTGTTTATTCTCAACCGAAGTAAATTAACTATTTAGCTGTCAATAAGTGTAATGTGGGAATATTTTATTGCAATTCTTGGTATAATAAACATATCTCCATCCTAAGTCAATGTAAAGTGAATATATTTTAGTTTTCTACCGGTGTAAAATGAATACAGTACATTGGTAACCTGAGTAAAATGAATACAATACATTGGCAACCTAAGTAAAATTAATATTTATTCTAGACCGATGTAAAATTTATATCCTGTAAAACCAGTTCAAAATAAATATTCTTATTCCTAACAATAGTAAAATAAATATTATTTGTTGTCAACTAGTGTAAAATAAAAATCGTTAGTTTTCGACTTCATTCCAAACAAACACACCCAAAGGACTCTTTATTGTTAAACAAATTTGTTTATACATCATAAGATTTTGACGTATAAACCACTTACCTGTGTCTGCAATGGGTACGAAGATAACGAAGTAGGGGTTGGTACAACACCTCCCTGACATGAGGGGTAGGCTAGCTGGGGCTGCATCCATGCGTTCCTGTTGGCAAAACGTAATGGTTCAGTAAGATTGAGACCTAAATGGGATATTTCATGCTAGATATTTATAAGATTTAAAACAATTACAAAATTACAATAAGAACCGATATTTGTAAATATATCAATTGAACTGTGTATCTAATTTAATCCTATTTCCGTAAAAAAAATTATTAACTTCCTAACAAGTTTATTGGTTGTCTAAAGTACAAATATCTTTCATAAAATATTTTTGTTGGTACGGTTTTGTGATAGACAAATGATTTCTTTTACGGTCGAAATCGGGTTCAAAGAACAATTATTGTAGTATTGGGAGGTAAAAATATATAGGCTACATAACTTTTTGTGAGGGGAAATCCTCACACTTCTATTCGGGTACGATGACAGTATATTTCATCAAGTTGGCATAGAATAGCTAATTTTGTTATTAGATTAGCAAGTTTCCAACTGAACGATATCCTTCAGTTGTTAGACTTTTCCCCGTGTCGCAAAAAGTCAAATGTGGTCCCAATTCACTAGTTATTTTCATAGACTAACCAACACAAATAGGGATTAAAACTATTGTAAAATCATGAATACTGTTTTCAAATCTGGTTCATGTTGGCGACACTAAGCGCTAGTGTCAATGAAATTTCGATTTACTTGTTTAAGGTTAAATATTCTAGTGATGCTATGGCTTGTAATTTTTTTTTTTTTTTAACCAGGGACTTAATGATAGTTTTATTTGGTTAAACTAGTATTGACAAAAAAAATTGTAAACGAAAACACACCCATAGAGGCACTGGACGGAACTAATATTTAAATCTTCTTCAGTTGATCCATAAGAATGGCAAATACAGAGCACGTATGAATTCATACCAAGGGATTATGTTTAATCTATGCTATCATCATAGTAATTCCATCAACTTCTTAGAGCAATTTGTATATATTTAACAATACTAACGTGTGCGCGTAGGGGTGGTATCTGTAGGGATGGTAGGTGTTGTCGTACAACCCCTTGCCGTAAGGTCCTGCGTTTCTATAAGGCCTCTTCATCCGCTTCCTGCGTCTGTAGTTACCGTTCTCGAACATATCCTTGTAGTTAGGGTCTGCAAAGAAGTTAATATTAACTATTAGTGTGGGTATTTCAACTTATATCGTTCAATACAGAACGGTAGATGAATAACTTCAGTTTGTCAACTTGACTATTTTTTTAACTTCTGCGCCGCGTACTCTTGCATCATCAAGTGTACTTTACCCTCACATTACTTCCGTCTTAAGCTCAGCGGATAATTTGTCGACGAATGCAACCTTGACTGTACAAAACCTACGCGATCGTTCAGCAAGAATCAGCAATTGTCAATAGTGCTGATAATCAAGGTTAAACGATATTACGAACTGACAGAACGGGTGGTGCAGCATATAGTCTGTATGATGGGACCTGCCACTTGACTCTCCCTGGGGAAGAAGACAGACTACAGTTACATACAGACTATAGTTTTCCAGGAAACTGTTGCACATAAGTAAAGTCCTAAAGGGATCATACGAATGTGAGACTGAAACTCTGAGATTAAACTATACTGCGAATGGTTCGCACTTAACGCACTTTTCCAGGTGAACTTTACAACGCGGAAATATCGTTTAGTTTAGAGAGTTAGAGCCCTGTTCTTAACTTAAGTCCCTATGGTTAAGCTAAGCGTATTTATTTATTCATTTTGCGAATTGCCTTCCGGATTACTTCACAAATCATATACAACAGGTTAACTCACCTCCAAGTACTTAAACAGGAGAAGGTAACTTAACCTCTTGTGTAGAATTTATTTCTCTTGGCAGTCTATGCTACTCTTCAAACGTCAATTTTCTGCTCACCACCCAGAACCGAATAGTATTATTTTACGTGTATGTCATGGGATTACGTATCTTTAACACTAGTATTTCACATCCAAAATCCTCCAACCACCCAAAACCTTACAAATCATAGCATTAAGTGTTTCTACCGTCCTCACTTATCCTATTCCTCACCCAAAGCCCAATAGTTTCCCTTCCTGTCAGCTCCGCCCTCCCGCGGGATCTTCAGGAAGCACTCGTTGAGGCTGAGGTTGTGCCTTATGGAGTTCTGCCAGCCGGCTTTCTTCAGTTCGGCGTAGTAAGGGAACCTGCTGGTGATGTAGGAGTAGATCTCGCTGAGAGTGACGCGCTTCATGATGCTGTTCTCGATCGCCATGGTGATGAGGGCCACGTAGGAGTAGGGTGGCCGAGGTATGGACGGCTTGGAGGTCGAGGTGGAGGAAGGTGCTGGAGACTCTGCGGGAGAACCTCCTTGAGGAGCCGAGGAGGAAACGGCGACTGTGGAAGCTGACACCGGGCTGGACCTGCAGGTAGACAAGATTTTTAAGAGAGACAAGTTAAGAAGCTTCTAAAAAGTAAGAGAAGGAAACACTTTTAATAAGGTGAGAATTTCCTTTAATAAGGAAAATATCAACTTGGGCTTTGTCCTACGTCGGACTGAGAAGGAATCACTCCTTTGTCTGCTCTACAGATTTTTTTAAGACGTTGAGGTTGTTAGTTTTCCTTGCTTTGTTGTCCTGAATCCATAGCCATGTTGAATAAGTTTTGATTGACAAGGTAGACATACTTCTTAATGATTGGGGAAAATATTTATGTAATAGTTTTTGTAATATCTTTTAGATTAGAAAGGATTAAATAACACTAGTTGGCGAGGAATACTTTAATTACACTGTGGTTGGTACCAAGCGCTTCATAGAAAGGAGAAATGGCATTACCAGTCCTTCGAGGGTTTAATTAATGATCGGATGCAATTGGTTTTGTTGATATATGGTCAAGTATCTAGAAAACAGAGTCTTGAACTTCTTTGTGAGAGGGCGGGATCAATCTTTGGCCCAAATCTTTAAATGTTTTCAGTTTGGAAATGCAAAACAAACCAATAAAACCAGGTACTCACGTTGAAATGACATTGTCTTTCGGTATAAGCGACTGGTTGATGCTGTGAGGTATGTTGTAAGCTAGGGGTTGTGATGACGTCACTGCTGCCTGAGGTGCAGGGCCGAAGTCCAATCCTGTTCTTCGCAAAGCCTCAGCATCCAATGTGAATTTGGCTCTCTGCTGGTCGTATACTGCAACACAGAGGATGGTGAGAGGGAACATTTTTGTCTGTTAGTGTCATCGCCACAGATTTTTTTTATAAAAAAAGGCTTTTGACGGTTAATTAAGGTTGATGGTTACTTAATTCCTCAATTTGTTGTCAACATGAATTCATCCCTCTCCTACTGAAGTCTGAGTTTCTTAGAATAGCAACACACATACCAATAATTTATGTATTATTTTTTTCGTGTGAATCTTGGATTCAAGTATACAGAAAGCTCTTGATAACATGGTCCTGTTTAGTCCGACACTCTATAGTCTGTAAGATGGAACCTGTCTCCTGTCTATCTCAGGACTGGCCAATGGTTTAAGGCCAGGAAAATCCCAGTTAGATGGAAGATCAGGAGACAAATTTCGTCATCCAGACTATAGGTAATCCGGTGCTGCAATGAATGATAAATCAAATATATTTGCAATACTACAATTCGATTCTTTTTTATTACAGGATTCTCTCGTATTTCCAGTCCAATTTTTTGCGGCGGTATTTATAGCGAATCATTGTGATTATTGGTTAGAAAAGTACATTGCAGTACTATATTGATTATTCGTTAATCGAACCGACAACAACATCTAACAGAAGTTATATTGGTTGGTAACCAAACAGTTCCTTAAGAAAAGTTAAACAAGCGAATGGTGTAAAACATACAAAATAAATTATAATCAAAGGTCATAAGTTACCTTAACACATTTAACCATTAAGCTGTTAAATTTTGTACTACTTTCAACTAAAGTCAATCCACAGTTTTGCAGCAATTTTAAATCGATTTCCAACACAGTTCCCTTAAGCCACCCTAGGAAATTCGAGCTGAAAGTATTAACTATCCTGACGAAGCTAACAATACCTCACTTGAACTCTGATTAATTAGTGAAAAGGTAAGCAAAGATGAGCTTTTAAAACTCTGCCCCGGGCGGGTAGGGCCGCCCCTTACGCGCGTAAATGATACTTCTCCCTCCAAAACTCCAACCCTCGCTCTCTGCAAGGGGCGGAGTGTAGTTTTTCACCCCTTCGAGCTAATTTGGGATCCAGTAGAAAAAATAGTTTAATACTGTAATATTATTTGTTGGGACTAGTCTGCTAGATCATATCCCTTGAGTTGGCAAGCATAAGTAATACATTCTAGTCTTGCTTTAGGTCAAAAATTTAAATTATTGTGCAGTAAAATAAATTTTTTACACGATTAAAATTGGCGGGTACTCAACCTAGGCCTTTAGTACTTTAATGCTTTATTCTGAGTAGGTGTTTTAAGCCATGAATGGAGATGGGTGTAGGATGAGTGGCGCGATCTTGTAGTCTTAGTGACTAAGGCCGACATATTCCTTAGACACAGCTGTTAATTAATAGCCCAATCAGCCAATGGCAATATTGTGGAACCCGAATCAAATATTTGCCTTGTAATTAACAAATTGGTCTAATTATCAGGATAGTACTGCGGATCGTCGTAGTACTCACCAGTGCGGACTTTAATACACACCAGGGAGTATCGCATCAACAGTGTAAGCCTATAAATATACACAATTTGTACATAAGTTTCATCCCATGTCAGGCCAATATCTGAGCCCCCTACATTCATTTTCATAAAATATTTTATACAGAAATTTCATATTTAATTTGCTAAAGTAAAACAATGTTCAGGATGCAGTAAAACAGAATATTTTCAGCGCAAGTTGTATTCGACCTTGACGCCAAGATTGGGTTTTGTTTTCACGAATCTTTCCCAATCTCAAATCGAAGCACGCGCTCCCCCTTGTCCATAAAGTTATTTATAAATGAAATATTTTCCTCGATGTATGTATGCAGCTGCTTTACACGGCTATTTTGCCATGCACACCGTGAAGACTATTGTTCACTTCTCCCTCTCTTTCCCTCGCAATCGTTCCCTCTTTTTCCCTCTCAATACGTCCGTACGTCTCTTACCCACTTATTGTGTTTCTTTATGACCGTATTTGTTTCGCTAAACGATCCGCGATGAATCGATTTCTACTCTTCGTGCTGTGGTTATGCGGTTTAACCTCGGTGTAAGGATTATTTAAAGATTAAAGGGATAAACATACTTGAGGTATCAGCTGTGGATTTGGAGTGTAATGTGTTATCAAGTTTGCTCCAACAATTATTTTCATAACTTTTTTAAATTTTAATAATACTCCGACGTTTGTTGGTAGACACGGTTACTATGGCCGAAATGGCGATTGCACAATACAAATGGCATCTGAGTATCTGCATAATTCTTTTTGTCTATGGTATCTATGAGTGACTAGATAGTTTACCTGTATGCTAAGAGCGCGGTCGATATACGATTAATTTTCCTATTGAAATTGTACAAATCAATACCCCCGCCGCAGCAAACCTGCCGTCTAAGCGAATTTCCATTTGGCTGAATTGATTTTCAATTGATCTATTTAAATAACATTAGGTTTACGAGTACCTAGGTTTGCTGCTACAAGAAACTAATAAAGTGTGTGTTTTAAGTAAAATAATTATTGCTTAGTATAAAATGAATATATTTGCCAAGTTTGATCAAAATATATCCATAAACAAGCAAACTACAACATTTTACAATATTCTCCATAAGAATAACATGGGAATTTTAAATTTAAATTTTTTTTAGTTTTATCCGTAACCAATAACCGTACAAAAACACTTTGATATACTGAATTGTTTGTTTTTTTAAGCTCTTTAAGAAGGTTTAGAGAAAAATTGGAAAATTTTGTGTTTTGAGGGTCAAAAGTGAGAAAAACCAATTTTTACCCCATAAAACCCCCCATAAAATCCTGTTCCCATGGTCCGATCATGCTGGATCGCGAACTCATTCAAGTTTATCCCGCCTTACACCTTCAAACCAAATTTCATCAAAATCGGATAAAAATTACTCAAGTTATCGTGTTCACGGACACATATATATATAAATCTATATATATATATATATATATATATATATATACATATATAAAAATTTGAACGAATGGTGTTTTTGCCCTCTGGGGACATCAAAATGAAAAAGTAAATCGGTCCCGGGCCTAAGTCTTACCATGAGACCTACGGTAATAGCTACTTCCCTATAGGGAAATTCGCTAAAAAGAACCAGTGACTAATTTATTGGACTACCATGCAGGCTATAGGCTGGGATGAAATTAGTTTTAGCATAAATGCTACAAACTCTCATACAACTGCAGTGAAAACATTATTCTTTAAGCATTGAAAATAAAATGCCAGTGATATTATATGTTTGGACATTACATCTTCAATTTTATCTGTAGCAAATTTGCTATAGCCTGCAAAAACAATGTGGCATTTTTAGGTTGTGTATAGCAAAATGCTAAAAACGCTACCTCAGCTTACCTCTCAACTGGGTTATTTTTTACCCAAACGTGAGTGGGAAGTTGAATGGAGTAGGATTACATTTTATCATTTTAATAACCAACTGTTATTTAGCCAGGCTAATTTAAAACCCAATTATCAAGGGCAGTTGGTTACAGTTCCAAACCATCAAAAACCGATTGAATTTGCTCCCGATTGCACTAGAAAATATTTGTCCAGTGTATGTATATTTAATGTTGTTTGATGTATGCATCAGCAATAGTCTCACTATAAGACTTATATCACATTATCAGGATTGAACCGGCTAACCTCTAATGATCTTGTGGTTCAACTGATGTTTACAATGTTTAATGCATGTTTCAACAGTCAAACCTACACTTCTCTCACGATTGAAACGGCTGAACTAAAACGGTCATGTATATCCCATGATGTTCGCGATGTCCAATGTGTGCTTCAGCAATCGTCTATGTGACTTATATCACATTATCGATGCTGACTCATTGCAGATTCCGCGAAGATGGCGTCAGCAACAATTGTGAGGAGCACATGTTGCTGGCCATCTTTATACACCATTGCTGATTCCGCCAGTTTCAATGCTGATGAACTCTGGATGCTAATTTGTTGGTGGCGCTGGTGCAAGTGGATAAGATCAGTTATAATTGAGATGGATGTTTTAATAGCCCCATCAATATTTTGGAAGTACTGTATTATTGTTGTAAGTATTGTTTGTCTGAGGGGAGTTATGAGAAAATCAGAAATTTTTTGGAATAAATTAGACGCAATGGGAGCAAATACCTAAATGAAATGACTTTTTAGCGAATTTCCCATATAGGGAATAAGATATTACCGTAGTACTCATGGTAAGACCTGGACCCGGGACCGATTTTCTTTTTAGTTTTGAGGTTCCTAGAGACTAAATACACTATCCGTTATCCGTTCAAATTCATATATATAATATGTGTGTGTGTGTGTGTGTCCGTTAGCACGATAACTCGAGCAAAAATGATCCTTGATGAAATTCGGTATAAACGTGAAAATCTAAGTTTATTCGAACGAGTTCTCGAACCAGCATGATCGGACCATGGGGACGGGGGTTTATGGGGGTAAAAATATGTTTTCCCATTTTTGACATAAAACATAAAATTTAACAATTTTTTTCTAAATTATTTTGTAGAATTTAAACAACAAATAATTTAGATTATTGAAGCGTTACTATGCGCCTAATAGTTATGGAGAAAATTCAAAAAAATATTTGAATTAAAAATTTCCATGTTATTTTAATGGACAATAAGTAAAGTTTTGTGATTTGCTTGTTTATGAACATATTCTGATAAGTTTTGGATTTATTGTATACTAAACTATTGACATTTCACAAAAAAAATCCTTTCTTACCCTCCCTGTTGCGACAAACCTAAGTACTCGTTATGCTAATGCTATTTAAATAGGGAATAAATGTGATATTTTTGAGGAGATATTTTAGAGTAAAACTAATCGGGCAAATGGAAATTCGCTTAGTCTGCAGGTTTTCTGTGGCGGGGGTATTTTGTTACCATTCTTTGCTCCGCTACATAATAAGCTTTAAAATGTAGGACAGGTGAAAAAGGGATCTTACAGAGAAACCCTTCTTGTATTAAGTAGGGAGACATGTATAATTCA